CAGCAAGATGTGACCGGCTCATCTTCCCACAGAGTTTCATGTTTGTGTCATGAGTCTCGTCACTGCTGTATAATTCAAACCAGCTTTTGCACCGAATAGCAAGCCAGCAGCACAGCAACTTCAAGAATCAGCAAGCCTGCACGCCCCGAGAGAAAGAGATCCGATCGTAGCAGATGGGCTGCGATTACATCAAATGTACACAGAAAATGTGGCCGGCCTTACCAAATATCAATGACCTCATTCTGTGTGAGCTGTCCAGTAATGAGTAAACTTTTGCTTTCACAGCACAATGACTGCTTACACAAATCATGAACAAGGGATCCTCATTTCTGGAAACCGTCATATCTGATACATTGTCTTTCGCTGATCTACAGAACACGTCATACTAAGGGAGGGGTGTTTTGTAGCCCAGCAAAGGAGGACTGATAGGAGTGCTTGGGATTCAGGGCAGGGATGGCAGAGTTGCAAGTTCAAACGGGAAGTGAGGAGCTCACTGGATTTTTGTAAAGATACTGGCAGCATTGTTACCCCCTTCCAGTCCGGACGCCGTCGCCCCCTTCCAGTCCGGACGCCGTCGCCCCCTTCCAGTCCGGACGCCGTCACCCCCTTCCAGTCCGGACGCCGTCACCCCCTTCCAGTCCGGACCGTCACCCCCTTCCAGTCCGGACGCCAGTCACCCCCTTCCAGTCCGGACGCCGTCACCCCCTTCCAGTCCGGACGCCGTCACCCCCTTCCAGTCCGGACGCCGTCACCCCCTTCCAGTCCGGACGCCGTCACCCCCTTCCAGTCCGGACGCCGTCACCCCCTTCCAGTCCGGACGCCGTCACCCCCTTCCAGTCCGGACGCCGTCACCCCCTTCCAGTCCGGACGCCGTCACCCCCTTCCAGTCCGGACGCCGTCACCCCCTTCCAGTCCGGACGCCGTCACCCCCTTCCAGTCCGGACGCCGTCACCCCCTTCCAGTCCCGACGCCGTCACCCCCCGGACCTCCAGTCCGGACGCCGTCACCCCCTTCCAGTCCGGACGCCGTCACCCCCTTCCAGTCCGGACGCCGTCACCCCTTTCCAGTCCGGACGCCGTCACCCCCCCTTCCAGTCCAGGCCAAATTTCAGCTTTCAGCGCTATCACACTTTGAATGACAATTGCGCGGTCATGCAACACTGTACCCATATGAATTATTTAGCATCTTTGTTGAGACAGATAAAGCTTTATTTTGGTGGTATTTATTCACCGCTGGGATTTTTATTTTTTTTTGCTATGTAAATGAAAAAGTCCCAAAATGTTGAAAAAAAAAGTGTTTTTCTTATAAAATTTTGCAAATAAACATTTCATCATAAATCAAAAAATGTATTCTGTTATCTTTTTAGTAAAAAAAAAAAAAAAAATTAGTTTATAACCAAAAATAATTTTTAAACTTTTTTTTTACATTTTTATTTTTTTAATTTTATTTATGTTTTTTTTTAACATACCGTCACCCTAGCAGTACAGTGTCACCATGGTCGCCGCAATAGCTGTGCTCTACAGGTGGAATAAACTCACCAAGTCAAAAGAAAAAAAAAAAAAAAAAAAGAAAAAAACCACACACACACACAAAATTCTCACCAGTAGTTTTGCACAGAGCAGCCCCGATCCTTTTCTACTTGGGTCCCTTGCCAGTGCTCCTGGCTCCTCCTCCTTGAACAGTGCCCCCAATAGCAAGCCGCTTGCTATGAGGCACGGATGTGTGCTCACTCTTGAGCCTCGCTCTATGCATGCATAAGACACAGAGCTGCAACTCGACCCACCCCCTGCTCTCCTCATTGGCTCACTGGCTGTGATTGGCAGCAGTCGAAGTCAATATCTCAGCCAATGTGGAAAGAGACCCCCGGAGAGCTGAGGCTCCCATGCACTTTGCTGGATCGCGATGGGGCTCAGGTGAGTATTTGGGGGGGGGCGGAACACAGGTGTTTTTTTTTTTTTTACTTTCATGCATTCTATGCTGCTGGTATTAGTAAACAGATAAAAGGCTATATTTGTTCAAATTTGTCTTTTACATTTCTGCAGTCGCTTCCTGGTTTCTGGCCTAGACCAATAGAATGTCGTGTATACCCTTAGCTGAGGGGCTCTCTCAGCTAACCACACCCTCCCACCTGCATGCCTGAGCTAAGGGCAGAAGGATTCCAGTAAATGCTAAGTGAATCATCTGCCCTTACTCAAGATGGCCAGTTAGAAATACTAGGGGGTTTAAAGTGATTTGTCAAGAAAATAAAGCACATGGATGGATGGGGGAGTTGGCTTTGAATATTAAAAATGAATTAAATAACATTTTCGGTTTGTGGAGCTCAGATACAGTTTCATTCTGCTTTAAGGGCGTAGTCACACTAGGCATGGTTGACTTGTATTGTGCCCAAGTAGGTTGGCCCCCCACCCACCAGCTTGTGTTCACATTGTTCCAGACCCAAGCATGCTTACTTCACTTCTGCCATAGACCAATGTGATCCTGTTCCCGAGTCCAAATGAACTGGACCCGAATGAAGCGAGTCAGGGTCAGAAATTACACTAATCAAACAACTTTTGGGGTCAAATATACTCAGGCATGGTATGGATCACCTAATGTGGGTACACCTTAAAAATATTTATATTTCAACAAATGATGAAACTATTGCTGGAATATTGGCATGGTAAAGACTTTATTGCTCTTTACTTGGGATAAGGGCAGCAATACATAAAAAGATCACATTTGTCTCCTGTAATGGGCCACCAGCACAGAAAATGCTTCTGCAGACAACTGCTTATTAGGGATGCACAGAAATATCGGTCGCCGAAACATTTTGGTCAAAAAACACCCCATTCGGCCGTTGGCTGAAATGATAAAAAAGCACCAAAAAACCCCCACTCCCTCACCACCACCGCCCCTTGCCACCGCTCGGTAGTTCTCAGCCTTACCTGAGAAATCAACGATCCCGGCACTGGTCATAGAGATTAGTGAAGGAAAGATGGCCGCCACTCATCTCTACACCCTTGGAGGACCGGAGCGATGTCACTTCCCGTTCTGGCCATTTTTGTTCCTTTTTTTAAAGAACTAGATCAATGCTTTTTTTTTTATCCAATGCTTTACACTGTAGGAGAGATGTGGGGTCTTATTGACCCCATATCTCTCCATAAAGAGGACCTGTCACTAATTATTTCTATCACAGGGGACGCATGCATTTCTTGTGATAAGAATAAAGGGGAGAAAATTTTTTTTTTTTTTTTTTTTTTTTTTTTTTTTTTTTTTTTTTTAAGGGACAGTACAAAAAAAAAAAAACCACAACACATTAAATAAATAATAATAAAAAAAAAAAGTTAAACGTGCCCCCGTAGAAATTTTTAAAGCATCACCCATGGAGATATTTTACATACCGCAGTTTCACGCCATTCCATGAGCATGCACAATTTTAAAGCGTGACATGTTGGGTATCTATTTACTCGCCATAACATCCTCTTTCATATTTTACAAAAAATTGGGGTATATATTTGGCTTTTAATGAATCGTGTAATTTTTTCCAAAATATATATATCCATTTTTAAAAACTGCGCATTTCGGCATTTAAAATTTTTGGTTTCAGCACCAGAATTTTCATTTTGGTGCACCACTACTGCTTATATAAATTTCCAAACTTTGCTCCACACAAAATAAAAGTGTAATTCCAAGCTAGAACTAAGCTTAAAAAGGGCTCCCACCTCTCCTCCCCAATCTAACTCCTTCTCCAAGTACCCTGTAGAAGAAAGATGCTTATACTTACCTATGCTAAGGGCGCCCTGGTGAGGTCATGTGATCTCCCCAGTGGCTGATTTCAGGGGAGAGAGCGCCGACAACTGACGGAATGCCTGGACGGTGATATCACCGAGAGGTTAACTGTGGGGAATCAGTTGTCAGCGGTCCCTCCTCTCCCCTAAAGCTGGCGCTGGGAGCTGATCACATGACATGATCAGAGAGTTCTGAGAATAGGTAAACATAAGCACCTTCCTTCCACAGGGTTTAGTTCGATTAGGAGGGGGGTTGGAGACTGTTGTAAGCTTCACTAGATCTAGCCTGGAATTACACGAACTGTCATTAACTCCTTATGTAAAAGGATTACGCAGAACACATATTTCTCTGGACAGACTCTTTGCTCCAGAGCATTCTAAATGGTCAGCACCCAAATATTACAACCAGAACCTAAGATACTTCAGCTAAAACTACAGTACATTAAGGACCACATTTCTGAAAGATAGTAAAGGACAAATAAGCAGCCTGATCTTACAGTAGGTTAGGACTGCATAATATATCCCAGTGTAACATGTCACGTGAGGATTATCAGGCCTATAGCAGATGGCCAGCGACAAGTTTATCAAGCAAGACCTGGACCTGTCAGACCACAACGGAACTCGTAGGAAATAAAAAACAAAAAAAAAAAAAAAATGTAACCAAACCAGCAACTACAAGAAGTGCTATGCAGGGACTTCTAGTAGTAAAGTAGACAAACCGACCTCCAACAGTCTGCATGAGTTCAATAGGCTGGGAACAATAAAAATCTTCAGGCTATCCTACACGTTACTCTTCACATGAGCTATCAGCCCTTATGGCACTTGCAGCCAAACTTCAATCAGAAAGCACACAACCTCATCGTGTCATTATATTGGTAACCACTCTTGACAGGGAACTAGTCCCCTAGGAGATGTCATGCATCTCTTGCAGCCTAAAGTGGAACTCCAGCTTTTCATTCACCCCCCCTGGGCCCACCCTTTTGCCAAGGGTCTTCAGCCTAGTCCAGCGGCAGAATGGGTCCATTCTCTTATCTGGTAAGAGTCATCACCTGCACTAGTAGTGTGAGCCCAGCGTGCCATTATGATGCACCTCCAAGGGGTGTGTGACCATTACAGCCTGGACTTGGAGGAAGAAGGTTAAATGGCACTGGGTGTCATTCAGCAAAGACTTGTAACAGCTGCTGAAGAGGACCTTCTGCAGGGACACTGCTGGACCTGAAGTGTTACTAAACC